GAAATAAGTTGAAATGAAAGCAACTTATGGGGAAGATGCCCCATCATATGACGTTGTTAAACACTGGCATGGCCAGTTCAAGTGTGGTCGGACATCTGTGGAAACAGCTGCCGTTCCTGGTCGCCCCCATTCAGCCATTGATGAGGACACTATCCATCAAGTGGAGACCGCCATTTTGGCAGACCGACGTATAACTGTTCGCCAGTTAGCACAAGATGTCAAGATCAGTGTAGGGTCTGTGGAAAAAATCATCCATGACAATTTGAACATGCATAAGGTGTCTGCACGATGGATTCCCAGGTTGCTCACACCTTTCCAAAAGCAGGAACGAGTCAGTTGCTCAAAGGATCTTTTGGACATGTGCCAAATAAACCAGGCAAACTTTTTTGACAGACTTATCACACAGGATGAAACATGGGTCCATCACTATGATCCTGAGACTAAAGTTCAGTCGATGCAATGGAAGCATGTGGAGTCACCACCCCCAAAGAAGGCACGTGTCCAACCCTCTGCAGGCAAGGTCATGCTCACGGTGTTTTGGGACCAGCACGGAGTAGTGATGATGGATTTCTTGGCAAAGGGTACCACAATTACAGGAGCTTATTATGCTTCACTGCTGCGGAAATTGCGGGGCGCTATCAAGCTTAAGAGGCGTGACATGCTGACCAAGGGTGTCCGTCTCCTGCAAGACAATGCTCCAGTACACAACTCTCATGTTGCTCAGACAGAAGCGCGGTCCTGTGGCTATGAAATCCTTCCACATCCTCCTTACTCTCCTGACCTTGCACCATCTGACTTCCACCTCTTTCCAACCATGAAGTCATTTTTGAAGGGAAAACGTTTCACAGATGATGAAACACTGATTTCTGAAGTCAAGTCCTGGTTTGAGGGCTTTTACAAGCAAGGTCTCCATAGTTGCATAAAGTGATGGGAGAAGTGTGTAAATCTTGGTGGTTCCTATGTGGAGAAAGACTAATACCTATGCCAAGTTTCATTCCACTAGGTCCATCGGAAGTGGGTCAGGGGAAATCTTTAATGAACACCCCTTGTATGTGGGGATATTGTAGATGAGAGAGGTATACTAGGACCCCGTAGTACTGCAGCATTCATGGTATTGCAGCATTTGTGATTTCCGGTAGTTCACGGGGGACTCGCCTCTTTGCGGCTGTCTATTAATGCAAATCAGTAACCAGGAAGTGCTCACTTCGTAAACAATTACAATTTCCTGGGAATGTTCCGTTTGCTGTAAGTAAGGTGTTGTTAACGCGATGATACTTACTTCTGGCATTTTTTTTAATATTGCCTGACCCCCATCTATCAATGGATAATGATATAACCCGCAGTTCCCCAAGGAAACTCTCTCTATCAACCTGAACAAGATCATCTGCATATTCATGGCGACAACGGAAGTTACGTAGTCCTCACATATTTTCCGCTCTGTGGCTCTGTGTCTCTGTTAGGAGAACATAAGGGCCATAATGCCATACTAAGAAATACGTTCTTCTCTAGTAGCCAAAAGAATACTTTAATACTTTTGACATATGAGATGCTTTTTTATATATTTATTGTGAACTTTTTACATTTTTTCATTTTTTGGACAAATTAATGTCATCCAATTTTTAAACAAAAATCTTAACTATCAATTCTGATATACTGAACAACAAAAGTTCCTGTGACACTGAATAAGATTTAATGAAAAGTTATGTTTTTTACCAAATCTGAAACAATTTCGGTTTGCAACAGATAAAAGACTCCTGTAAGTGTTCAAATGGTTTAATTTGCCATACTGACTTCAGAAAATGCGAGAAAAAAACATGAACATGCCAAAATGTCAATTTGCAAATCAGTAGCGTGTGTGTCCACCTCTGGTTGCGATGCAAACAACACATCTTCGTCTCATGGAATGGACCAGGCGTTGCACAAAGCCCTGTGGGATATCTGCTGGAGCATGTTTCGAAGTTCCTGGAGTGTCTGTGGTTGACGTCGAAGGGGCCGATCCATCTCATACCACATGTGATCAATTGGTGAGAGATCAGGGGAGCGAGCCAGCCAGGGGATGACATTCATGTTGTTTTGTTGAAGAGAATCCTGAACAAGTCGAGTAATATGAGGCCGGGCGTTGCCATGTTGAAAGGTAATGCCTGGGCCATGACGACCCAAAAACGGTAGAACAGGGCCGGAGATCTCATCGCAGTAGCGCTGTCCATTGAGATTTCCCTCTACCACTATCAAACGGTCCTCTGTCTTGCTGTAATTCCACCCCATACCATAACGCTGCCGCTTCCATGATACAATGATTGACGTAACGTTCACCTCGACGTCGGTACACTCGAATCCGTCCATCGCTGTGGCTGAGGTGAAAACGAGACTCGTCAGTGAATAGAACTTGTCCCCACTGTATGGCCGTCCAGCGTAGATGCTGTCTGCACCACCGTAGACGTGCTTGACGGTGGTTTCCTGTCAAAATGGGACGTCTGACGGGTCTTCTGGCGACAATCCCTGCACATCTGAGGCGACGACGTACGGTTTGTTAAGATATTCGTCAAAGGCCAGGGATGCTTCTTGCAGTCACTGTTGCTGGCTGGAATCGATTTCGTAGGTGTATTGTCGAGTATTGGTTACGCGTGGCCTGCCACTCCGAGGATGGCCTCTGACTGCATTCGTCTGTTGCGAACGTTGCCTAATAAACACCAAATGGTGTTTCTGTGGACGTTAAATTGTCTTGAAACATCAAGTTGACTCGATCCTTCTTCTAGCTTCCCAATGGCTGGCAGACGCTCATTTTCTGACAGGCGTGGCATTTCGTAATGTTGAATAATTGCGTAATTTTGTTGTTTTTCTGAGTGGTTGTTGTTAGCACGATGCTAAACAATGCATATGGAATCCCGTTAACGCACATGTTTTTGTAGTGAAATGCAGTAGTGAAATGCATGGGGCTTGCATAAAAGTCAACTTTTGCATGGAATGCATGCTTTTCTGTAGCAGTTCCGTTTTTGTGACTTGATTCCATACATGTACTACAATATTGTAAAAACAAACTTTACTTGTTTGAAAAATACACTAAAATATTAGTGTCACAGGAACTTTTGTTGTTGAGTATATTTTGATAATTTTTAAAAATATTTTTTTCTTACTTTTTGGTAAATATGCCTTGGATCCCATTTACTGATAACACATTCAGAATTTTACTTGTGCTGTCTTTGCACTTGTCTGGAAAAATCACAGAAGTCTGGCATCATCATATTTAGTGGTTGGTATGACCGCGGATAAGCCGACACAGTAGATAAGCTGAGGTGTTAACTTGACCATTGAAATAAGAAAGAAAATGATGTGACCCGCAGATAAGCCAAACCAGGAAGTGAAAGACAAAAAACACTGCGAAGTCGGACTGCAAGACATGTGCCAGTACTAGCAGATATTCAAAAACATAAGATGAAAAACGTAATTATATTGAAAAAGTCATTATTATTGCTAATAAAGATTTAACAATCCACTTTCATAATGTGGGAAGCTCTTTCTCTTGGTTTTTTTAAATCTCATAATAACTGTTATATGTTGCAATCAACAACGAAGCACCATTTTGTGAATCGGTGTATATAGAACTATGAACCCGTGAGAAAATATATCAGCTAGAGCGAAGACTCGCAGATTGAATTCAGCATCCTAAGCATGGGGTTTGATCTCATGATGAGAATGTCAGTCGGTAAAAATATACCAACTTTTATACCCCCTTTATATCACTATTGTATGTTAATCCAATTGAATTAAATAAACTATGAACACATTGAATGACCATCACTTACTCACAGGCTTCTCCAGTTTATTAAACTAATCTCTCGAAATCAAAGGAATTAAGCCCCTACTCCCTACACCCATAACTTGAAAATGTTTGTGTAAACAACATGACAATACCAATCGGCCCGTTATTATCAGTGCTCATTTCCTTGTGTACCGTGTTGCTTTTTAAACAACAGGAAGCAATCACAGTGGTCACCGTTTGTGACGTCACAGGAAACAGCTGATCACATGTTTTTGCAAATGGTGAACGAAATAACTCGCCGATACAGTTGTTTATTTGCCTCTTTCAATAAAGGTAGACACTTGTTCACTATCAATTTATGAACTTTGCAAAACGTACGTATATAGTTATTGGCACTTTCATCTGGGGATTATATATTATAGCTGTGAATTACATATATTGTTAGATATCTAAATGTAAAGATTGTGGAGTTTATGAAGACGATAAACTTTGAACATTCAATTGAAAACTTATTATCGGAAGTAGTAACATGCATAACATTTTTATAATAATGACAACATTGGTGTATAATAATAACTTTATTGATAATTTATACCAATAATGGCTCTAGTCGTGGCAACTTACAAACTTTCGGGAAGTTGTAATCTATCGGACCGTCATTTAGGCGATGTTTCTGACAGATCACGATCTGAAAAATACTATCATGAAAGTGTATCCCGTGGATAAGCCGACCCCTTTCTACAGAATCTTTTTTCTGGTCCTCAAAATCCGGCTTATACGCGGTCATATACGGTACCATATCCACATATACCTCCCTCCCATATATTTTCTCCCCCATATACTATATCTTCATATACCTCTCTCCCCATGTACCATCTCCCCATATACCGTACTGTGTCTGTTTTTGCCCAATTCGGACCTTCATACACAACTTTTCCCTGTACCACGATACGATGGAGTTCTCTCCCATGTCAAACTGAGCGCGAGGCCCGGCTTTTACTCGGCGCGACTTATGTAAATAATGAATTTTAATCAGTAAAATATGCATATTAAGATAAAATTAATGACACCTGAAATAGAGAACACGAATAATCATAAAAGTTAGTGAGTACATTTTGTCCCGTTTAGAGTACATGATAAGTGGAAATATAAAGCCATAAAAACATCATTGAAACATAACATAACAATGTAGCAAGCTCAAAATTGCATGTGTTGGTTCATTTTACAAAAACCTGCTTACCTCTTCCAAGGACTGATCAATTTTCTGTCGTATCTCAAGGTTGGTCCATGGTTGAAAAGCCAGAATATTCAGCTCAGGTCTGCAGATCAATTAACAACATGTTATCATGAACAGAAACATTTGTGTCCCCTCATGCATTGCTTGGTTGCAGCCCACACGTGTAGGTGTGTAGCTCAGCAAATTAAAATTGAATGACAAAAACACAGGCATTTTGTTGGCTGGTTTATTTGTAAATCATGCTAAAGTTCATGCAAACTCTATGATTATTGGGTACCTATATCTTTCATTGCTAATGTGAACGATCTTGGAGTGTACATTGCTTCAAGACTTTCAATGGAAGTCCATGTAACTGACATATGAGCAACATCGGTAATGTGCGCCATCTCTTGACATCTGATGCAACACATCACTCTGAAATATCAATGATGTATTAAAGGGTCTACTCCATCACACCAATCAAATGTGGTGAGAGGGTATGTGCCTTCTAGATGCCTCAGATGAGCCAGCAGCTCAATGCTATTCACACCAGCAACAGATTAAAAACGATTATTGTGGTAAAAATGTACATCTCTTTCATATTGATATAGTAAACTTAAATCAATTAATGTTAACTGCAAAAAATGTGGACAGTGGATTTTGGACAATGTTCAACATATTCCAAATAAGTTACATTCTAACGACTTAAACTCAAATGAACTGGGAACTCCATTTATTTATTTCATTTTTTAAATTTAGCATACTTTAAATAAAACCCAGAAGATTCCATGCTGTTTATCTCAGCAGTTTCTTCTTTTTAAACATTTAATCACTTGGTATCAAATAATTATCTTTTAATAATTTAGATACTCCTGGTGGTTTTTTTAAAACAAAATATAATTTCTTTTGCCAGAAAAAAACCCATAAAGACATTGCAAAGTTCTATAATGTGTAGATCTATTTCCTTCATAAATTACTCAAAATGTATGTTTAAAAGACAAATGTTAAAACCCTTTGTCCCACATGATTCTAGTAAAATCCTAGATATTTTTTTATATTTGTATACTTATTTTCTCAATGCATTTACTGCTTGTTCTTGGACAGAGAAAAAGAGCTTGTGAGAGGTCTTGCTGAAGAAGAGGTTGTTCCAACTGGTTGTGTGGCTAACCCTATCACACAGCTCTCATGTGACCCCGGAAGTAGTGCCATCACTGAACAGCACATTACTGCTAAAACAGTGCATCTGAAGGCACTGAGGGGTGTCAGCTTTCAGCAATGGGTGGGCCACTCCAGATGAAGTAATGCAGGATAAGTATACAAACATAAAAAATATCTAGGATTTTACAAGATTTTTTAACTTATCCTGCATTACACCTTAATGCATCTTAATCAGACGGTATGGCTGAGGGCTGGTATTCATGATGTCCAGGTATCATTGCAGTAAAAGAATTAAACAGGATTAAAATCTAATACTGACTTCAGCCGCTATCGGACATAGCAGGAGCTCCTGTTCGTCCTTAGCCAAACTATCGATAATAGAGACAGGATAATGAAGGATCAGGCTGTCCTGGGAGCTGATTTTTGGCAATGAAGTCCCAGCACAGCCTAAGATGAACAGCTCCATGTGCTCTTTGCTCAAATCTGACACAAGTGATGTCGAGTGCATATAGCTGTTGCTAGAGCCAAAATGAAAATGGTCTTTTTGATGAGGTTGTAGTATGAAGCTGAGTGAAGCTGTTCAAACGGTGCACCCCTCAGCAAAGTCAGGACCACGCTCAGATCCCAGGAAGGAGGTCTGAACTTGGCCTTCTGATCTTCCAGACGGAAAGAGCGTAATAGCGCTGTAGCTTCGGAACCTTGGTCATTTTCCGATCTTCTGGAACTGCCAAGATGGAGTTAAGGGCCACAAGGTAGGTACAAACCTTCAGATGGTGTTTGTGTGATGAACCTGGTGTTATTCCTTGTAGAAACTCTCGAGGAAACGCCACTTGTTGTCTTAGAGGCCCTGGTAGAGGGTCTGATTTCTCTGAGCTCTGATAAGAAGCCTCTCGCCAGCCACCAAGGCGCTATCAAAGTCAGATCCAGGATCTGCATCCAGTGAGACACCCAGGATGAGCGCCTCCAGTTGTAGGTTGTTGATGTGCCACTGTTGTTGAGTGGCAGACGACAGCCCCGAGGTGACTTGACCCTCCAGAGGTGCTCCCCATCCTTGGAGTGAGGTGTAATGAAATTGTGAGCTCGGTCAAGGAGACGCAGTCTGAGACCGTCCGCCAATGGAGATGTGGCTTTAGGTGGTCCAGGAGGACACAGGAGACTGACTGGTACTGGCTCCTGATGTAAGGGGTGAGAAACACTTGTATAGGGCGGAGGTCCAGCGCTGATGTGAGGAGATGCTGGAGCTGCCGGTCATTAGTGGAGAGTTGTTGTATCACAGCGAGGAGATGGCATTGGATTCAGCGCCTCATGACCCTGGGTACAGTGAGGTCACGGCCGGTCTGAAAGTGGCTCTGATAAATTGGAGATAGTATGCAGGGGTGAGCTCCAATTTCTGGAAATTGATAATCCAGTCCAACTAATGAAGGAGGCTGTTTAGGAGGCAATCATTGAAGTACATCTTAAATTGGGCACCCCTCAAATGAAGGTAGGTGGCTATTGGCTTCGTAATGCATGTGAATAGCCACAGGGCCGAAGAAATTCCAAATCTTAGACTGCTCATTGGTAGTAGACTCCCTCGAAGAAAAAGCGGAGGAATTTCATGTCAGTGGGTCGGATTGGTACATGCAGGTAAACGTCTTGGATGTCTAGGCTGATCAGGACTTCTTAGTAGCCTGAGAGTGGTCATCCGAAAGTATGAATCATACGATATTTGTCTTTGTCCTTCTTAGGGACCAGGAATATCAGTGAGTAGAAGCCTGGCGTTATTGTCGGCGTGTATGTAATCTCTGTGGCCATTTAGTCTAGCAGCATATAAATGTAGCCGCTGTTTGTGATGTATGGGTCCCCCAGGATGTGCCAGTTCTGCCCATTCTAGCCAAGTTCTGCCAAGTTCTCTCTCCTACAGGGGTTTCTACGACTTGAACGGCTGGGGGTGGGAGTTCCCAGTCGTAAGTGTTCATATTTGGGCTTGCAGTCACCCCCTCAGCCACTGGGGTGGTCACAGCATGGTGGGTACGTGCTGACAGAGGAAAACTCTTAAGGCTCAAACTGTGCATGGAGAAGTCGTTCATCCTCGTCTTCGGATCCCACTATTGTTGATAAACGGGGAAGGATGAATGATCTATCCGGCTATCCTGGGAGTTGATGTTTAGCAGACTTCAATACCACATTCAAATCCCAAGCTGAGGGATGAAACTTGGCACGTTGATCTTCCAGATGAAAAGGCCGCAAGAGAGATTGAAATTCTGGGATCGCAGTCATTTTGCGATCCTTTGGAACTGCCAACACCAAGTTGAGGGCTACCAGATATGTAGTTATTGAACTAACCTTGAGGTGATGCTTATTGCGGAGGTGGAGAAGTAATTCAGACATAAACTTTGGTGACACAGACATAGGATCCTGTTTTTTATCCTTACTAAAAGATTCAAATGAAACACATTTATCATCATCAAGGAAGCGTGTCAATGGTCTATGGGCTAAAGCAATAGCCTTCGCCGCTCTAGTAACGAGTAACCGCCTGAGTAACCTTTAGCACTTAAGGCCCAGTGTGCATGCGAGGCTTGTCTTGAGCTGGGAGTGGCAACAGCCTTTTGGGATGAACCGGTAGGTGTGGCCACCCTGGGAGTTCAAGAGGGTTGCAACTGGCAAGATCTCGAAAGATCCATAAACCATTTCTGAGCCAGCCACCAAGGCGCGATCAAAAGCAGTGATTGATTCGGTGTGTTTTTGATCTGATGCAGAACGCTAGTAAGTAGTACAGGTGGCGGAAAAGCATACACGTTTAGGCCTGTCCAGGGATCGCTGAATGCATCGACCGCCCATGCCAGAGGGTCGGGAGATGTAGGTCCGCAGTTGATAATTCTCGCTGGTGGCGAATAGGTCGATAAATGGCAGGCTGAATCGCTGGCACACCAGAGTGAAGGCTTTGGGGTGGAACATCCACTCCATGGGAGCCATTTTGTCTGGTTTGTAAAGTGTGTCCACCAGGATGTTGGTACAACCGGAGATGTGCTGGATGATGAACCTCATGTGTAGTCGATCCACTAACTGGAAGAAATGAAAGGTCTGAGACAGCAGGAATGCCTGTGGGCATGTTGGGTGTGTCATTTTCTCAAAACTCTGATATATACAGCGAAGTCATGAGGGGGGGGGGGGGGGGGGGGGGGGTCACTGTGATGACAAGGAAGCAACGGGAGTGTGGATCTTTAACCGAATTATTGCCCAAGCATTGTGAGCAATGCAACATATATACTCACATGCAAAAGAAAAGCAAGTCGAGTATGCAGTATACATGTTATTTATTTTCAACAGTAAAGACAAGAAATACTAATAGGGTAAGATTGACAAAAATTTGACTGAAGACAGTTTAATGGATTAAAAGGCAGATGACATAATTGTTTTTTCAAATGTTAAGGGCTTACACAGTTTCGGGTCAATACCCAAAATGTCAGTCAATACCTGGTGTGACCACCATTAGCATTGATCACTGACACACATCTCCTGTACATTGAGTGGATCAGATGATTTGTGAAGGCCCTAGGGATCCTCCTGCACACATCCAGCGCAGCTGTGCGTAGTTCATCGGCAGTTGTAGGGACTGGGCGCAGATTGTGCAGACGCCTTTGAACCTCATCCCACAAGTGTTCGATGGAGTTCAGATCAGGGCTGAGGACTGGCCACAGTAGAACACGGATGTTGTGTTGTTGCAGAAAGGCCATGGTAGCTCTGGCAACATAGGGGACGAGCGTTGTCCTGCTGGAAAATGTGTTGTTGATGTTGTGCAAAAAATGGAACAACGTGGGGTCTGATCACTTGCTCGATATACCACTGAGCAGTGACGCCATGCTCCCTTGACCAACATTCAGAAAGCACATGGGTCCAAGTCTCGCATTAAGTCCAATCCCTGCCCATATCATGACGCTAGGTCCATCCCATGGATCCCTTTCA